GAAGTATCCCACATATTTTGTCACCTGTTTCTACAATGCACCTGCTCTTATCTGTCTCGCTGTCATAGTCAAAGAAATTCCAGATAGGACTGTGTCGCCTTCTCCCAACTTTTGTCGTCGCCATTTTTCCAGGTAACGCGGTGAGCAAAAGCACGGACAGAGAGGTGCCGTACGGTGCCGCCAGCTGACGTAAAACTGCTAGAGTAAAATAAATCGACTTATAAATAAATTGACAAAGACAAAAACGAAGGACATTTCATCTATAATTTCAGTACGTTTTAGTTAGTTTTGTCAACGCACAATACAGTTATAGTTAGTTATCGTTTTTTCTTTTAATTGTCGTTTTGATTTATTTCAGTTAACGAAAATGTTTTTTCAATTCTAGTTTTCGTTATTTCGTTCTTTTTCGTTGACGATAATAACCTTGGTTTGCAATATAAAATGGTCATCAAAATTTGGACTATACAGAACTGGATTCTTACTTAGTGACTGCCGGATGCCCTGAAAGGCTTCTACAGCGTCCTCCGTCAACTGGACCTGATTGGGATGCTGGGAACCAGTCATGTCAGTGAGCTTGGCGGCTCTGGCAGAGAATTGTGGTATAAAGCGATGATAAAACCCCGCCATGCCCAGAAAGGATCGGAGTTGTTTTTTTTGTTTGTGGCAGAGGACACGACTCTATAGCATGGATCTTACTAACCTGCGGCCGTATCACTCCACCTCCAATAATATGGCCCAGATAGTCTGTTTCAGCAGCTGCAAACACACACTTTGCAGGATTCACCGTTAGCCCAGCAGAGTTAAGACGGCCCAGGACTGTGCCTAAATGTTCCAAGTGCTCCTCCCAATTGGCACTATAAATGACAATGTCATCCAAATAGGCTGCAGCAAACCCACCGAGATCACAGAGTACCTGATCCATGAGCCTCTGGAAGGTAGCCGGATCCCCATGCAGGCCAAAGGCATGAACGGTAAAATGGAAGAGACCCCATGGTGTTCTAAAGGCTGTTAATTCCCTGGACCGCTCCGTGAGTGGGACCTGCCAGTAGTCCTTGCATAGATCTTGCATTGGTCTCAAGTACTTTGCTTTTCCCAGCCGTTCCAGGAGGTCATCAGTCCTTGGTGTTGGATAGGAATCAAACCGAGAAACTGAATTCAAGTACCTGAAGTCAATGCAGAACCTTATGCTGCCATCCTTTTTTGGCACCAAGACCACGTGGTTGCACCACTCGCTCCTTGAAGGCTCGATGATACCTAGGGACAACATTAGGTCAACTTCCTTTTTCAACGAAGCTAATAGACGCTCTGGAATTCTATAGCTAAGTCGTCTCACGGCCACCCCTTCCCGAACAACAATGTCATGCTCAACAAGACTTGTCCTCCCAGGATTCTCCTGAAACACTTCAGAATCACAAAGTGATCTTATCTGCTGTTGCTGGGGGTCTGAGAGATGACTAAGGTCAAAATCTTCCCGTGCACCGGTGTGAGGCAAGTATTGCTCATCTACTTCCTCTTCCTCCAGCACCCTTTTGACCAGCATCCCTTCTGCCTTTTCAGGCTGCTGGACCCACTCCTTCAAAAGATTTATATGCAACACTCTGCTCGTACGTTGCCGTCCCGGGGTTGATGCCTGGTATGTAGTAGGCCCAAGGTTCCTCAGGATCTCAAATGGCCCTTGCCATTTCGCCAATAACTTGTCATCATCACTAGGGAGGAGCACCAGCACCCTTTGTCCCACCTCAAAGGATCACACTCACACAAACACCCACATTCACCAGACAGACTGATCTGGGACCTGGACCTCCCACCCCCCAGAGACCAGCATGCCCAGGGGCTCCCAGAGCGACACCCTAGACAGTCCCACATGGGAAGGGGTGCCCAGGAGGACACAGGCCCCCCTGGCACGGACGAGGCCCCCACCCCAGCAGCGAGCCGCCTGGAACCCCAAACCCCACCCAGCACCCGCGAGGCCCTGGCCACCTGGCGCCCCACACCCAGGCTGCCAGATCCCCCCCCCGCATCCACCGGGTAGATGCCCCCAGCCCCCTCACCCCGTCAACCCGGGGCCAACCCGGGGCCAACCCACAACCCCCAGCTTAGGAACCACAGGCCCCTAGCCCCATGGAGCCACCAATGCTCACACCCCCCGGAGCCCCCCACCATCCAAGGGACACAAGGAACGACGAAGTCATGACCCCGCACACCCACTAAGTGATGGAGTCAATTATTGGGGACCAGAGAGAGTTGAAATTGCCCAATTGATTCTTGGAGGCAGCAAACATTCGCTAAGAACTAATATGGTCCAACAAGAGACCCTTGTATTGATTAATACTCAAATTGTTTTTTGATTTCCAATTTATAACAATAGTTTTCTTGGCAATGCACAAGGCGGTGAGAACCATTTGTGTTGAACTACCCTCCAGATTGAGAACAAATTGTTAATTTTGGGTATAACCATCATTTTAATAGTGGCCACTCTCCCCATGAGTGATATGGGCAGGGTTTTCCACCGTATAAGGTCGTCTTCTATTGTTTTAAGAAGTGGAGTATAGTTAAATTTTTGACAGCCTGGGGGAAATATGTATACCTAAAAATTTTATATTTCGTGATTGTAATGTAGTACTGGGTGCATTTTGAAAATTGCAGTTTATTGGCAACTGTGGATTTTGACCAGTTGATGGAATACTCGGAAATTGATTAAAATCTTTCTATGACTGAAATTGTGTGAGATAGGGAGGATTGAGAGTTCTGAAGGAAAATTAATACATCATCTGCATAAAGACTTATCTTATGAAGCTCATTTTTAATTTGAATACCTTTAATATCTCTGTTTTGTCTTATCGCGGCTGCTAGAGGTTCGATAAAAATAGCGAAGAGAGAGGGGGAGAGTGGGCAGCCTTGTCTAGTACCCCTCTGGAGAAGAAAGCTTGGTGAAGTTTGGTCGTTTGTCCTGACTGATGCATTAGGAGAGCTGTATAGAATTTTAATCCAGTTGATGAAAGATGATCCAAACCCAAATTTATTTAGTGTTGCTAAAAGAAATTTCCAATTTACCCTGTCGAACGCCTTTTCTGCATCTAAAGAGATAATTGTAGTTTCTAGGTTATTGATGGTAGAGTAATCCATTAGGTTGATTAACCTGCGTGTGTTGGGCTACTGAATGTCTACCTTTGATGAAGCCTTTTTGATCTGGATGTATTATGAATGGAGTTGCTTTCTCCAGTTTTTTTGCCAAAGCTTTACATACTAATTTAAGATCTGTATTTATTAGTGATATGGGACGATAACTAGATGGGAGGGTGGGATGAGGCAGCGTACTCACTTTCTAAAGTTTTAATCTTTTGCCCCAGTTCTAATGCTAGTGAATTCTCCACTCTTTTCTTATGTGAGGAATAAGAGATTCTTACCTCTCATGACTGCTTTCCCTGCCTCCCAAAGAACACATGCTGAGATTCCTGGTGTGTCATTATCCTCCAAGTATAGTGTCCACTCCTGTTTGAAATAATTTATAAAACCTTGATCTTTAAGTAATGATGTATTAAATCTCCAGTGTTTGATTGGCGGAGTGACCTTTGTGTTAGTCAGAGTGAGGGAGACTGGGGCGTGGTCGCTGATAGTGATAGGGTGGATCTGAACCGCTGAAGTGTCCCTCATTTTGGAGCTACTGATTAGAAAGTGGTCTAGGCGAGAGTATGATCGGTGTACGGATGAGAAGAAAGTATATTCTCTAAGAGTGGGATGATGAGAACGGCAAGCATCACACAGACCAAGTGTCACGATCGGGCTCCGGTGATCCGGGAAGCAGAGCCAGGAAGTCGGGTACAAACGGGGTTTTAATGCTCGAGAGACAGACAGGTAGGGACATCGACGGACACTACAATGACAAGTCTGGGGAAGACTGACTCAGACGAGGACTAAATACAAAAGACAAGCTAGACTTAATAGGACACAGGCGATCACAATCAGGGCTGAACACGAGGTAACGAGGTGGGCGTGGCACACATTAGGATCGAACGGAGCAGGGTGTGACACCAAGGTCCCTCATATATTGTTTCAGGATTTCTGGGGATTGCCAATTTCTACAGCTCCCTGCATTACTAAGCCTGTCAATTTCAGGGTTAAAAATCAGGTTGAAGTCCCCTCCTATAAGAAGTGTGGTGTCAGAATGATCAGAAAGGGCAGTGAAAAGAGTGTGAAAAAAGGAGGAGTCGTCAACATTTGGGCCATATACACTAGCGATACATATGTTCATGTTTTGAATAGATAAGTTAACTATAATGAATCTACCTTCTGGGTCTGTAATAGTGTTAATGGTGGTAAAGTGTATAATTTTTATTAATCAGTATGGCCACTCCTCTCTGTTTTGAGTTGTATCCAGCTGAATATACATGAGGGAACTGTGGTGAGGTGAGTGCATCTGCAGCTGTTTTGGACAGATGTGTCTCTTGTAGGAGGACAATGTCTGCTTGTAATTCTCTCAGGTGATTAAGAACTTTTAGCCTCTTTACTCTGGAGCCGACACCACGTACATTCCATGTGACAAACCTTATTGTGCTCATGTTTAAACTAACTCGCCGGGTGTGAGGAGCTTGCTAGGTGTGTGTGTGTGTGTGTGTGTGTGTGTGTGTGTGCATGCGTATGCCCACCTGTGCCTATATGTGCGTATGAGTGCCTGTGTACATCTGTGTGTGTGTGATGTACATGCGTGTGTGACGTGCCTATGTGTATGGTCTGTTTATGTGCTGCTTGTGTGCGTATGTTATGTGTGATGCGTTTATGCAGAATCATGGTGTTAGACGTGATATATGGAGGAGAGAAAAGAAAAAGAAGAGAAAATAAAAGCTAAACTAAAGAAGGGTAAGAAAAAATAGGGGGTGTAGTCATTAGCAAGACGTAGACACATCTTACCTCAGGCTATGCTTTGAGACAAGCAGTTATTGTATTGACAGAGACATACCTTGGAAAAGTATGTCATCCTATAGAAAATAAGCAGGTCTGAGCAAAGCATCCAGGAACACCTGTGGATTTCTGGGAAATAGAAAATACTCGTCACTTGTCATTCCCTGCTGAAGCCAGACGCCTTTTGTTTATGAAAGTGCTATCAAGGCAAATGATTTTAAGGAATTCAACGTTTAGAGACAATTTTCAGCATTATGCTGAAACCTATTTTACAGCAATTTTGCTCAAACATTTGAGTCACATGTGTATCCATTCATCTTCAAACATAAATATAATTTTTAATATTCCAGATATTCAAGGTTCGGGCTCACAGGCTGATGGTGAACTTCCAACAGGAGCTGAGGGGTCTCCCCAGCAGCCTGTTATTGTTCTAGAAAAGGTGACAGAGAACTTCACTGAAGAAATGCTGGTCTTCATGGTGAAGAACATCATTGATCTGACAGAGACTGATTTCAGTCAGGAAATGATATATGAGAGACAGACAGCTGTCGTATCTTTCAAAAACACCAATGGTATGACACTGTATTCTTTCTGCATGTAATGTTAATTATTAATTATTTATTTCTAATTTAAAGTGAAACTGGGTGTTTTCTGAAAATTTGTAATATTTTTCTTGTGATCTGCTTCTTATTTCTTTGATATTTAGAATTTAACAAATAGCTTTCCCAGGTTCCTTTGTGTATCCTGGCAGATCAGTAGAAGAAATACACTAATGGTGGTACAGCAATTTTATATTTTAACTACTAGTCAGTAATATGTTTTTCTCTAGATGCTACACAGTTCCTGTTGAAATGTGGAAAGAACAACAGATTCCAGCAGTCTGGATTCAATGCCAGGCTTCTGGAGCGTACCAGGAGTGTGAGGGTAGAGAATCTGCCCCCTCATGTTATGGAGGATATGCTACAACTTTACTTTGAGAGGAAGAAGGAAGGAGGAGGAGACATAGAGGCCATCAAAATGATTCCTGAAGAACAAGCCGCCATAGTCACCTTTCTGGACCCTGAAGGTAACGTCACCCCTAATGATACTACTAGCATCCATATTTTACATCAGATCCCTTCATTTTTTATTAAATACTATTTTTTTCTTTTAGTCACAGAAACCATACGAGGAAGGAAACATCACATTTCAAAAGTCCCTGTAAATATTTATCCCTTCTATACGTCTATCGGAACAGCCCTATATGGAAAAGACAGACCAAGATGGAAGTTGCCTGATCCTTTTACTGAAAGTATTCATCCTGCTGTGTGGAAATTTCTGCAAAAGAGAAATGAAATTAGAACCATCAGCAAAGAAATGAGTAAATACTTCTGTGAAGTGCACCTGGATACTTCTGATGTCAAACTCACTCCTTTGCCTACTTTGCTAAAACAGAAGTGTTTGTCAGTCAAGCACATAGACAGCTGGAAAAAGAATGCGACAGACGCATTCCAGAACATAATGACCAAGTACAAGACCATTGAATGTGTTGTGAATAACCCTGTGTGGACGGTGGGTGAAAAGGAAATTTCCTCGGTAGCAAAACAAGATGTCATCCTACTGCATGATCAGACCAAAGGGGTTCTGACAGTTGCAGGCTTAGTTCAAGATGTTGATCGGCTGAAGCAAGTGGTTGAGGGAATCGTGCACAAAGTCACCAATCAAATAGAGAGAGCGACTCAAAGTGTCTCTGAAGAGCTGCAGGTGCCCCCAGGCATGTTCTACATACTGCAGCAAGATGGCCTCCAGCAGGAAGCCAGTCATTACCCAGAGATGACTTATGCATACAAATCTGATGTCAAGAAACTGATTCTGTCTGGTTTACTTTTTGAAGTGCTTCACTTGAAAAGTTGGATTTTAGAACATCGACTGAAAATTAAACAGAAGCAGGTGGAGATTGAACCTGATATTTTGAGTTTTCTCAGTGCTGTCAACAGTGAAGAGATGTCGTCTCACCTCTTTACCTCTTGCGGCATCGCTGCTGTTTACGGGATTGATGGTTCCAACGTGGTGCTGACTGGAAATTCTGACAAGACTCTGGCTGACGCTCAGGGACGATTGCGGGATGCTCTGACATTTCAGAATATTGCCGTT